GTTGCCCATCCCTGTCTACTCTGTATGGAGGGGGTGGGAATGATCCTCTCTGTAAATTTTTGTTCCTTCTTTTGAGTGACCGCATCTATAGATGTAGGTCAAGTTCATCAAATTGTATCAGATTACTCTTTTTTTCCTCTTCTTCTAGTTGAGCTCTGATCATCCAGTCATTGAAGTCAGGTCAAGTGGGTATTGTCTGCAAGTGTGAGTGTTCTTATGCATATGCTCTATCTTCTTATCAGCTGGGTACTTCATTCTCCATTCTAGTCCTCTGTGGCTATGTCACTGACTCTAGGCCCAGGAGTGGCAAGGTCTTGCCAAACTTCTGGCCAACCGGGTCTCCAGCTGGGTTCACAGGAGTGTCTTGAACATGAAAGAACTTAGCTTGCAGCTTCATTGCTGTTTTTCCCTCACTTCCCCTTATCCGTGACCAAGGTCACCAGTCAAAGCATGTGTCTGCTCGTGTATTCCCATTTAGTCTCAGTCTTGGAAGGGGGTTTGCCCTGAGGGGACCCGACTACTTGACTTGATGTCTCCTGGGCGAGCAACTTGCTTGTTCTTGTAGTAATCAGTCAGACTGTGATTATTGTTTTGTATTTTTCCTATTGGTCTTTCTTTCAAGAAGTATCTTCTGTTCTTCTTCTAGCCACTCCAGTATGGTCTGCTTGTCCTTTCAAGTGGAACTTTCCCACCTCAGAAGATTTCTGGATGGAGTTCAAGAGTCCACCTATGGTCTTATGTAATGCACAGGCTCCACAGGAAGCCTCCTTCACTGGGCACATTGTAGCCCCTTTTTAGGTATTCCAATCAGTTATAGGCAGAAGGTGGACTTACAAGCTCTCTGTGGTGATATTTCTAGCTAATCCTTTGTCTCCCCATCCAGTGTCTGTTTTATACTGTTATGTTAGGGAAACCAAGATTCAAAAGACATCTAAGCATCTTAAAATTATTTTCCCTCTTTTGCTCATACCAACTATGTCTCAATCCCTGTTTCCCAGAGCCCTGTTTTTCCAAGGTTCTGCATACTTCATTATTTACCTCATCCCATTTAGCCCATGTAAACCTGCCTAATTGTTTTCCCATCCACCTTGTTCTTCCAGTTCCTTCCCCCTACTTGTGTATTGCCCCTCTTCCTAGCACCCAAACTAATCCTATGCCTATTCCCTACCCTGTGCTCCACCTTCCCCTCCCTCCCCTCACCCAATCCCCACATCCCAGTAACCAGCAAAGAACACCCCTCCTCCCCACCCCGGAGTATGGGTTTTTTGACTTATTCGTTTGCAATAGTGGTCCTATGCAATTTTTCTCCTTTTGTGCCAGGCATCTACGTTGAAAACGTATCCATTGAAACATTGAAAACCCTATGGAATAACATTACTTTGATGCACACATGGGATCACCTTGAGTAGGAGATGGCTTACTTGACAGCAACTGTGTTTTTTTATTACACCCTGAGGGCAATGGTAGCTTACTGGTACAGTTCTTGCCTTCCATGTGGGGAACTCAAGTTCGATTCCAGGCCAGTGTACCTCATGTGTAGGTGCCACTCATCTGTCAGTGGAGGCTTGTGTGATGCTGTAATTCTAAACAGTTTTCATTGGTGCTTCCAGGCTAAGATGGAGCAGAAGAAAGGCTGAAAATCAGCCAGTGAAAACCCTACAGATTACATTGATCATGAAGCTGGTGTGGTCCATGCAGTGCTTTGTTTCATTGTAGATGGTGTTACCCTGAATCAGTGCCTGATTCAACAGCGACTAACAACAGCAACATCATTGTTCCCTCCATTTTTTTAAAAGAGGAAGTTGTTGTTGTTGCTATTGTATGCTGTTCAGTCAGTTCTGACTCATAGTGACCCTGTATAGGGTTTTCTAGGAGCAGCTGTTGAGTTTGAACCACTGACCTTGCAGTTTAAACCTATCATGAGCTTGAGTGTTTATCCTGCAGTACCACATCATGACTCTTAAGAAGAAGTTGTTAGTTGTTGCTGTTAAGTACCGTGGAGTCGGTTGCGACTCATAGTGACCCTTCACAGGGTTTCCAAGGCTGTAAGTTTTTACGGGAGCAGAATGTCTCATCTTTCTCCCATGGAACCGCTGGTAGTTTCGAATTGCTGATCTTGAGGTTGGCAGCCTGAAAGAAGTAGAGGCACAGAAATGCTAGTGACTTACCTAAGTTCATGCAGTTAATAAGTAGCAGAGGTAGAAATGGAACCTAAGCAGTCTCCCTATAAAGCTTTCCTTTTAATCAGTGGACAATCCTGACTTCCAAGTGGCCAAGTAGGGGAAACAGCATTTTAGGCAGAGGGACCAGCATGTGAACATGGTGTGTTCTGAGAAAGCAAAGAAGTCCAGTAAGAATAAAGACTATCTGATGAGAGATACGTAAGTATTCATGGTTAGTGGCTTTGGATACACTAGAGCATTGGATTGAGCCTGCTGGCTTGGGAAAGGAAGCAGTGCTGGGCAATACTTGTTTCGTATTAAAGCTTCATTGGGCCATTTGAGTCTTTGTTTTCTGGAGATCAGGAAAGGCAGACTCTTTGATATATATATATATATATATTTTTTTTTTTTTTCTAGAGGGAGAAGTAAAATCTCTGTTTCCCTCTTCTCCATGCCCCTAGTTTAGTTCCTTAAATATTCATGAGGTGCTTGGTAATTTGCAGATGGACAATTCACCATTCTGTCCTTATTGATCAAGCTGTTCAAACTTTAATGAGCTCTGAGCCGCTGTTAGTGCCCCTGGAGGAGAAGCAGAGTGAAGAGGTGGGGGTGGGCAGCACTGGGACATTATACAGGAATAAAAGAGGGGTCACATCTTCTCTTATGCTTGTTTAATTTTCTGCCTCCCTCCCCCCTCTGTCTCTGCCATGGTGAGAATCTTCAACTCTTTGCCCTTGGGTCTCCTTTGTTCTTCTAACATATAGCCTTTCTTGCCATTAAGGAAATTGTCAAGAAGAAAATATAATCCCCTGATGAAAAGCTACTTTAAAAAAAAAAAAAGGTCTATGCTAAGTACAGCTTAGTTTAATGGGAGATTTTTAATCAACTCCCAGTGGTGGCCAACTTGTCATTTGTTTGAGCCCTGTTAGCTGCACTGAGTACTGTGGGCATTAGTCCTAAGTGATGCCCTTTCCCTGTAGAAAACCTGAATAGAGCTTATGGGCTCTACCCACTTTCTCAGTGGGAGTATAGATACTTGGCCATGGATAAGAATGACATGTCTTTCAGAACATAATTACTGGTGTGAAGTTTAAGGCAAAAGCATCCCTATATTTGACAGGTAGCATGTCATAGAAGTAAAGAACATAGATTTTTGAGCCAGACTACCTACAATGACATATTGCCTCAGTTACTTTTCCTGTAAAATGAGAGTAATAATAGTGCCTATCTCCATAAGAGGAGCCCTGGTATGGCATTGTAGGATAAGCACTGGATCCCAAGGTCAGATTAAACTACAAGGTTGGTGCTTCAAACTCATCAGCTGCTCCTTAGAAACCCTATTCAGGGTCACTATTAGTCAGAAATGATTCAATGGCACTTAACAACAAGCCCCATAGTGTTGTTAAAAGGATTAAATGATTTGATACATGTAAAATCCTGTAATAGGGCTTGGAAATGAATAAGCAGTGTGTTTTGCATGACAATGATGATAACAGAAATGAGTGGTTTGTGGAAGACAATGCGTTTCTAATGATTTTGAAAAGTCAAAGAGCTTTTATAATTGGGGAGGCACCTCTTAGGAATATATACTCTCTTTCCTACTAGGTAGGGTTCTTTCTACATAGGACTGTGAAGAACATTGGTCAAGGCAACACAGAACATATCCTGGCCTCTCTGTCCTTGTGTATGCATCCTGGAAGTTGAAAGGCGAAGAGCAGTTGTACTACTTCTTTTTCTCAATGTCATTCCCGTGGCCTGAGATGACATTTTCCTTTAGTCAAGTTAGTAATGCGAATGACAACAATAACAATAAAATGATGTTAATGTCAGTTGTTGTCTGTGTTCCTGGT